AGGATGTCAGAGAGGCTAGGAATGAGCACGAGTGGGGGCTCTGGCTGAGGATGGAGGACTGGGCAGGAGCTAACTCACGTGGCACCTGGTAAAGTTTCAATCTTTCACCAAAATGCACATAAGCCATGATTAGTTGAGGAGACAGAGAATCTGGTTTACCTTTTTAAAAAAGATTATCCTGCTTTGGGTGAAGAATAGAATATAGGGGAACAAAAGTGGAAACAGGGAGACCAGTTAGGAGGCTGGGGCAGTGGTCCAGGTGAGAGATGAGGCCAAGTGGAATGGCTGGTCTCCAAAAGGAACAGGAACAACCACTGCAATGGGAGTGGAGAAAATGGGGACGGCGCATGTTAGTTTGCAGTTCTGATGGCTATTTCCCAGAAGGGCTTCGCCAGAACATTCTAACTATGTACTGGGAACCCTAAGTAGGTTCCTACCCTGAGACCCCAGCATGCTGAGGGGCTTGTCTGGCACCTCCCTTCTATTGAGGGGTCCCTTGAGGAGGGTACCCTGACTTGTATGAGTACTTGCATTAGGCTGCATTTAGGCCCACGGTGGGCCCAAGGGTCTTAGGGAGCTCAACAGATTGCTCAGTTCATTTTCCTTAGAAGGGCAGAATTGTGTTCTCCAGTTGTTTCTCTATATGTCTTTGCTCCTTTTACATGTCTCATGGTATAATCACAACTACTACAAGAAAATCCGTCTTACCCTAAAGCAGACACACTGGCTCTTCCTATATAAAATTTTCATAAAACTGTTATGCCAGGCATAATAATGCTACTGAATAATTCCAGGATTAGTACATCCAGTTTTGTCACCTCCCACCCACAAATGTTAGTCAATTCTTTAAATAGAAGAACAGCTAAAGACTGCACTCTTCCAAGTTGTACATCTAGATGCAAAACCAAACAATGTCCAAATTCCTAAAAGTCCCAAGTTCTTTCATAACACACATCTTCATAATTTGGATAAACCCTTTTCATGAAGGTGCTGGCAGATTTTCTGTAAAGGAGTTTTGCTAAATTTAGGATTCCACAGAATGCCAATAATATTTCTGATATTTTAACCAGGAAAATAGCTTCTTAGTCATTTATATATTTAGCAGTTCTGGCTTCTTGGTCTAAAAATTAGAATAAATTTAGGGGAAAGAGAGAAAAGTGGTAAGAATAAAGAAGAAAAAAAACTAGAAGAACTACATAAAAAGGAAGCAGGGTGAGGAGAATTCAAATTCTTGTTCCGGAGAAAAGTAGTAAGAATAAAGAAGAAAAAAAACTAGAAGAACTACATAAAAATGAAGCAGGGTGAGGAGAATTCAAATTCTTGTTCCTCAAGAAATTTCAGGATCCAGTAACACTCTAGGACTTACTAAAATAACTGAAACATGAAAGCCCATTCATAATACACACAGCTGAGCCTCCAAAGAGGATAGACAGTTTAGATTTTGTATCTATAGATGAATCTGAACATATTTTCCTAGCAAAGA